GCCACACTACAGGAACGAGAGGAGAGCGGTGCAAACGAAACTTTGCTCCTAGCCAAGCTTACCGATGCGCGGAAGTTTTCCTTCCTGCACTTATCAGAACAGCCACAAGTAACGCCACGTTTAGCAGGGAGAACAGCCATGGGTGCTGGTTGGTTGGCTAAGTTTGACTCTCATCAGTCAAGGGGTTGTTGCACAGTTTAGAAAATGACATGATGCCCCAAACGTGGACCAATTGCCCCCAAAGAAGTCAGTGCATCTACCCTCCAGCAAACCCAGGTGTGTCATTATACCAATCCGGCCCCTTTCTCCCATGCGGTGTAAATTGCTGTTCCCTTTCAAACGTGGTATTCTTGCAACAGTTCTGACGTCTAAAAAGTGAGAGAACCCTCTGAAGCAGCCCTCCAATTCTCATCAGCATTCAGATTTAGTAAGCTGTATTTATACTCGTTAGCCTGAACAATTATTGAGGAGTCCCATTCTGGATTGGGGTGGACAAGAAATATGGTTCCTTGATCAGATTCTAGTCTGTAACTGACTCCCGTGTATCTGATATTCTATACATAAACTCGCCTGATCCCCTCATTTAGATTCCAGCCTGTAACTCCCTCCCCGGTATCTGTTATTCTGTATATAAACCACCCGAACCCCTCGAATAGATTCCAGTCTGTAACTCCCTCCCGAGTATCTGTTATTCTGTATATAAACCACCCCGAACCCCTCGATCAGATTCCAGTCTGTAACTCCCTCCCGGGGTATCTGTTATTCTGTATGTAATCCACCCCGAACCCCTCGATCAGATTCCAGTCTGTAACTCCCTCCCGGGGTATCTGTCATTCTGTATATATACCACCCTGAACCCTCGATTAGATTCCAGTCTGTGACTCCCTCCCGCGTATCTGTGACCCTCCTGATTAGATTACCATCTCTAGCTCGCTCCCCAGTGTCGGTACCAGCCTGACCCATCACCACCAGCAAGTTGGCGTGTGCCCGCATTGGGCTATTTGACCGCAGTGTGGCCTCACAGCAGCTAAGGCTGTACGGAAACATGCCCCTCCGTCGACGACACCCCCTGCACATGACCCTCTGGCCACAGGAGGGCTGGGGTGCTGGGGGGCGTTGTGGGGGGGGCGATGGGGAGGTGTGTGGAATCTCCGTGTCCCTTGGCACCGTACCGTTCCTGGCCTTGGACTTGCAGGCAGGTTGCCAGTGAAACCCTTCAGCTTGGAGGTTTTAAACGCCCTGTCTATGTCCGCTTGTGTGTAGGCACAGATTGCAGTGGAGTTCCTGTAGAATAGAGAACACCAGAAGGATCAGTAACACCATCCCGCACTACCCCACCATGTTTGTGATCAGGCATCGCATTCGCGGTTTGACCATCGAAGATGGTCCTCCATGAGACATTTGGAAAAGGGAGCAGAGTTAGGCATTTGGACCCATCGAGTCTGTTCCACCATTCGATGTGTTTCTCAACCCCACTCTCCCGCCTTCCCCCTGTAACCTTTGATTCCCCCCTCACTCATCAAGAACCCATCCATGTCTGTCCTAATGGATAGGAAACGTTTAGAGGGACATGGAAGGTAAATGGGACTCGTCAGTTTAGGAAACCTGGTCGGCATGGACGAGGTGGGCTGAAGGGCCTGTTTCCATGCTGTATACCTCTCTGACTCTGTATTGAAGACACTCAATGACTTGCCCTCCATAGCCCTCTGCAGCAATAAGTCCCACAGATTCCCCACCCTCTGGCTGAAGAAATTCCTCCTCATCTCAGTTCTAAAGGGTCGTCCCTTCACCCTGAAGCTGTGCCCTGGGGTCCCAGTCTCTCCCACTCGTGGAAACATCTTCTCCATATCCAGTCTGTCCAGGCCTCCCAGTATTCTATAAGTTTCAATCAGATTCCCCCCGTCATCCTTCTAAACTCCATCGAGTACAGATCCAGAGTCCTCAACCACTCCTCGTATGACAAGCTCTTCATCCCCAGGATCATTTTTGAGAACCCCCTCTAAACCCCCTCCAAGGCTAGCACATCCTTCCTTAGATACGGGGCCCAAAACTGCTCATAATATTCCAAACATGATCTAGACCAGATCCTTACACAGCCCCAGCAGTACATCCCTGTTCTTGTATTCTAGCCCTCTCAAAATGAATGCTAACATTGCATATGCCTTCCTAACTGCCAACTGAACCTGCATGTTAACCTTAAGAGAATCCTTAGCTTGACTCCCAAGTCTCTGTGCTTTGCAAAGTCTTGCCACAAATTCTCATTAGTCCCTGTGGTGTGTGTAAAAATTGGGATTTGTGCAGAGACTTGTATGTGAGATCACTTTTCGAGAGTGTAACCTTATTCATAGCTTGTACCCATGGGGCAAAATAGGCACTACGCAGGGTGGGGGTGGGGAGAGGGTCCACATACATTGAAGGTAGGGGTAAGTTTATTTTTATTGGTCAGTGCATTGAGTACAGGAGTTGGGAGGGTCATGTTGCAGCTGTACAGGACATTAGTTAGGCCACTTTTGGAATACTGCATTCAATTCTAGTCTCCCTGCTATAGGAAGGATGTTGTGAAACTTGAAAGGGTTCAGAAAAGATTTACAAGGATGTTGCCAGGGTTGGAGGGTTTGAGCGATAGGGAGAAGCTGGGGCTATTTTCCCTGCACTGTTGGAGGCTGAGGGGTGACCTTATAGTTTATAAAATCATGTGGGGCATGGATAGGGTGAATAGCCAAGAATAGGTGGCACGGTGACTCAGTGGTTAGCACTGCTGCCTCATGGCGCCAGGGACCCAGGTTCAATTCCAGCCTTGGGTGACTGTCTGCTTGGAGTTTGCAGGTTCTCCCTGTGTCTGTGTGGGTTTGCTCTCGTTTCCTCCCACAGTCCAAAGATGTGCAGGTTAGGGTGGATTGGCCGTGCTAAATTGTCCCGTAATGCCCAAGGATGTGCAGGTTAGGGTGGATTAGCTGTGCTAAATTGTCCCGTAGTGCCCAGGGATGTGCAGGTTAGGGTGGATTGGTCGTGCTAAATTGCCCCGTAGTGCCCAGGGATGTGCAGGTTAGTTGCGTTAGGCATGAGAAATGCAGGGTTAGGGGAATGGGTTTGGGTGGGATGTTCTTTGGAGGGGTGGTGTGGGCCTGTTTCCACACTGTAGGGATTCGATCATCTTTTTCCCTTGGGGTGGGGGAGTCCAAAACTAGAGAGCATAGGTTTAAGGTGAGAGGGGAAAGGTTTAAAAGGGACCTGAGGGGCAATTTTTTCATAGAGAGGGTGGTGCGTGTGTGGAATGAGCTGCCAGAGGAAGTGGTGGAGGCTGGTACAGTTACAACACGGATGGGTACATGAATAGAAAGGGTTTAGAGGGATATGGGTCAAATGTTGGCAAATGGCACTAGATTAATTTAGGATATCTGGGCCAGCATGGACGGGTTGGGCCGAAGGGTCTATTTCCGCACTGTACACCTCTATTGACCTAAATGGGACCAGATCAATTTCGGATAACTGGTCAGCATGCACGAGTTTGGCTGAAGGGTTTGTTTCCGTGCTGTACAGCTCTATGACTCTATTCAGTCTTGGTGGCCCTGCATTTATCGCCCATCGTTAATTCCCCTTGAGAAGGTGGGGGTGAGCTGCCTTCTTGAACCGCTGCAGTCCACATGCCGTGGGCAGACACACAATGCCCCTTAGGGAGGGAATTGCAGGATTTTGACCCCAGCGACACTAATGGGGTAATGGGCCACATGATGTCTCCATTCCCCGTGCTCCCCCTGCACTCACCACAAACTGGAAAAGATCCCGTACACCGTGCTCCTGTGAGGCTCGTCTTCCACATGGAGGACAGCGGCGTCTTGAATATTGTTGAAGTACCTCAGCTCGGTTGGGAAGCCACAGACTAGCCGAGCCTTTAAGAAAGTGGTCCAGGAGTCTCGAGTGTTCTTCGATGTCCCCTCATCAACCTGAAGGAGGCAGCGGAGAGCGGAAAGTAAAGGGGGGTCGAATATAAGGCACAGTTACGCCTTTGGGAAATGGCTCCTAGTCTGGGCTTAGTTTGGGAATAGCAACTCAAGAGAGTCCAAATCACGAACACCATTGGCCAATTGTAAGCCTACACCGGCTCTAATTCATTCTTCCAATGCGTTAGCTGAATTGAAATTCGGTGAAATTCCATTCTCTCCCCAGGAATTGCAGGACGTTTTCAGTCTCCTCAGGTCAGTTTGAAAGCTCACACATCTCCCATTCGAGCCTCAGCTTGAGGCTCTACTCTCAGAGAGGTTCTTCAGGCCTATAACCCCACCTCCCCCCTCCCCAAACTGCACACACCAGATACAGTAATGTCCATAGGGCCTGGTCTACATTGACTGAGTTCCTTTTCTCATTCATTCACGGGATGAGGGTGTCGCTGGCTAGGCAGCGTTTATTGCCTGTCCCTAATTGCCCCAGAGGGCAGTTTAGAGTCAACCACATTGCTGTGGGTCTGGAGTCACATGTATGCCAGACCAGGTAAGGATGGCAGTTTCCTTCCCAAAAGACATTTAGTGATCCAGATGGGTTTTTTTCTTGACAATCAGCAATGGATTCACAGTCATCACTAAACTCTTAATTCCAGAGATAGTGGGAACTGCTGATGCTGGAAATAATCCAAGATAACAAGGTGTAGAGCTGGGTGAACACAGCAGGCCAAGCAGCATCAGAGGAGCAGGAAAGCTGACGTTTTGGGTCTGGACCCTTCTTCAGCTTTCCTGTTCCTCTGATGCTGTCTGACCCTTCTTCAGAAACCCCCACCCTAACTCCCCACCTACACTCACCTTTACTGGCTCCATTCCCGCCTCCTTGACCTGTCCGTCTCCTCTCCACCTATCTGCTCTTTTATCCATCTTCCATCCGCCTCCCCCTCTCTCTCTATTTATTTCAGAATCCCCTTCCCCTCCCCCATTTCTGAAGAAGGTTCCAGACCCAAAACGTCAGCTTTCCTGCTCCTCTGATGCTGTGTTCATCCAGCTCTACACCTTGTTATCTTAATTCTAGACTTCTTTTTTATTGAATTCCTGCTGTGGTGGGATTTGAACCCAGGACATTATCTGTGTTTTTGGATTAACAGACCAGCAATAATACCACTAGGCCATCATGTCCCCTAATTCCTCTAGACTCTAACGGACAGAGGTCCCTGTCTGTATTTTACCAGGACTCTAACGGACAGAAGATCCTGTCTGTATTTTACCGGGACTGTAACGGACAGAGGATCCTGTCTGTATTTTACCGGGACTGTAATGGATGGAGGCTCCTGTTTGTGTTTTACCGGGACTGTAAAAGTACGGAGGATCCGGTCTGTATTTTACTCGGACTGTAACGGACAGAGGCCCCTGCCCGTATTTTACTGGGACTGTAACGGACAGAGGATCCTGTCTGTATTTTACTGGGACTGTAACGGACAGAGGCCCCTGCCTGTATTTTACCGGGACTGTAACGGACAGAGGATCCTTCCTGTATTTTACTGGGACTGTAATGGGCAGAGGCGTCTGTCTACTTTGACAGAGACTGTAATGAAGGAAGTCCTGAGCTAATCTCGGGATCTGGTTTAATGCTTTGATCCTGAGCTTTACCTTGCACACCCGTCCAATGCAGGACCTGACGGCTCCCACCGAAACCTCACCGCCATCAGACTCACTGAAGAAAAAGTAGATCTCGTCCTTGCTGCTGTCCTTCATCCTAATCCAGGCGGATCCCACAAACCTTGGATCTGGGAACAGAAGAAGCGATAACTGGTCATGCATTAACAGCAAAGTCTGAGGAGGGGGCACGGGGAAACCAGTCTGTGTTGGAGAGCACAGGCCAGTGTATTCTGAGAGATGGAGCCTCAGTCGGAGAGGCAGGACCCTGGACAGTGCTAGCTATAGGAGCATTGACCTGGATCGAGAGTTGGGTGGAAGTCTGCAAGAGTGTGGTGCCCACTGAGTCAAAATCCTGCACTGTACCATTTCCCATCTCCCATCGGGACCCATCTCCCATCGGAACCCATCTCCCGGCCAGCTCTAATCTGGAGAAAGTACGGTGCCTTGTATCAGTTAGTAGAGTGTCCTCTCTCTCTCTCTCTGGTTTGTTCCGCACTTACCTTGAAGCCACTTGTCTTCAGTCCTCAAACTCTTCAGCCGTCCGTAGCTTCGTTGGATCGCACCGCTGCCGAGGGAGGAGTGACCGATCGCTGAGTAGAGGCTTCCGTCTGTGGTCAAGAGATTGAGAAGCATTAAGATGAAATCCAACTGGATTTCCGCTACCACTCAGGTCATTAACACTGGCATACAGGCAGCCTGTCCCAGTCAGCCACCCAGGGATCAGTGCCTTAAGGTTAGGGCTAATCCCAACGCAGGAGCAGCAGTGTGTGGCTATGTCAGGACAGAGTACAGTCCTGACACAAGACATGTCGCTGTGCTCTGTTGTAAGTTCAATCCAATGGACCCAAACCTTCCAAACCCTTTTCCCATTCACTCCCACTGTACACAATCCCAATGGACCCAAACCCCT